ACTACTTAACGGATTTTGATGAAAATACAGTAGGTAGTGTAGTAGCTTATGCATCAGAGTAACACATAGGCTAAGTCATCCATAAAAATATATACAAATAAACAGTTACGCGTTTATACATAGGTACTATTTAACAAACAAACAACAACAAACGTTATCACTGCAACATGTAACTATAACTGCCAAACTGTCAATGTCAACGTGTTCCAAAAGGGAATTGTTTGCATATATACGTATTACACAATGAACCGGCAGTTGGTAACTTCCAACTGTTTCAATTAACGCTATTAAATTGTTTCACGGTTAGATTTTAAGCAATATTTGCAGTCAATAAAACTAACAGTCCAAGGGAAGGAATCCCCAGGCGCGACAGCAGCCGTCTGTCCCAGGAGGTACTTACACTTGCCCCTTTCTAGTGTTGTTTTATTTATTACGTTTTTTTATCAGAATTTGTAACGTCGGGGTGACGTGTCAATGTCGGTATACAAAGTGCACTTCGTTTGGTACCTAACAGAGGAACATTCGAATAAGTGTCATATTGGATACACATTTAAGTTATTTATCAATTGTCTTATATGGTACAATAGATGATTAAGGATTTAGTCTTTGTTAGCCTAGGTTAGTCCTCTAATAATACGTAATAATTTCTAATTAGCCTTTTTATCATTTACTAAGAGTAATTTTAAGCGCAACAAGTTAATATATTATGTACTGTTTTAAATTTGACAAATGACCGCGTTTACGCAAACCACATTTTATACTTATTGAGTTCCCTAATTCAATCAATATAAAATATGGTAACATCCTTTGATTTTTACTGATTATACCTATAATTAATATATTGTCATTATAATTGTAATATTAGCATTGTACAGACTAACAATGTTTCTACTCATTATATTTAAGACATGAAAATATAATACGTATAGGAGAAGGAGAATTATCTACCCTCCAACTTATTTGTACTTAGGTACTTAGATCACTATAGAAAACTAGATGAAACCAACCCTACATTTATACACCTCAATAAAAGTATAATCAAATCTAAAACCCTATAGAACAGGGTCTACAACTACCTATATTTACAGATTACAGACATGTACGGGACCCCAAACTGCTAGAGTTTGGGTTCCGTGGGCAATAAAGCACGCATTACGCGGGTTCGCATCCCGGTTGGGATGGGACATGGATTAGGGGAAGATTGCTTTGCGTTGCTTTTTTTAAGGCAACCTTATATTGTTGTACGAACAAGTTTGAATATCTAAGTTTTGCTTTTTAATATATATAATAAAAGATTGGTTTTACTAAAACTTACAATTTTTGCCTTTATTATAATTTTGTTCAATAATATCTCGCGGTTTTCTTCGTCCCTGTTGATGTCATTTCATAACTGGAGTATATAGGCTACTAATACTTTAGGTCAATAGTAGCCCTATTAGCTGAATATAGAAGGTTTCTATTTTCTTTTGATCATCTTTTAACATAAAAGTTTTTTAATACTAAAAATGAGTTCCAATTTTAATTTTTTAATACGTATATGACGGATATTATAGATATATTAATTTATTGTATATAATAAGTCAATCTCAATATGTTTCATGTAATCAATTGGGTATAATTGGAGATAAATTTAAAATTAATTGATCCAATCAATTGATAGGTTATTTGTGGCCCTAGTCGAACTATAAATAATCAATATAGTCAATTATCCGGCAACACTATGGAAGTACTACTGTAGTCACAAAATCAAAGGTCATTTAAAATTCTTTTGATTAAGTTTAGGACAAATAGACACAGATTTTTTAGGCGTTATTATTACATTTGTATTTATGAATATGATTGTTTGTAAGCGTTTTTACAAAAAAAATATTTAAGTATTCATATCAGTTATCATAACACAAACTCTGCTTACCTTTGGGACTAGATCGCGTTCTGTGAATTGTACTAGAATATTCGTTTTTTTACTCTATTATCATTGTTATTTCTTGAACACACAGCAACAAATGAAAGTGTTATTGACACTAAAAATTATTGGTGACACATGAGTTTTAAATACATTAGATTAATTTATAAATTTTAAGTCCAAATTCTCTTGATATTACAAACGCGAAAGCTTGTAAAGTATGGATGGATGTTTGTTACTCTTTTACGCAAAAACTACAGAATGGATTTTGATTTTACGGGGGTGAAACCGCAGGTACAGCTAGTATTAAATAAAATTGAATACATTTAACTTTTTATATTTACATTTTCATGTACATTTGTTAAATTTTAACTGTGGCTGTTTACCTTAAATTGATTATTTCAAATTTAGATACAATATTTCATTAACGCTGTCGAAGATACTTATAGGATAAGTCGTAAGTAAGCGATCGTAAGTAAATAGCGTTTAATAATTTACAATATACTATTAAATTTTATCGTCGCGTTCGGGGGGAATTGGTATAGTCGGCTGGATATTATATATAATTCAGGATAGAAAACTTTAATGAATAATTCATGAGGTAAGTGACCACTTTCTTTTATAACGACAAATAGTTCCGTATTTTAAATTCCATGAAATGTTTAAGGATTAAAAAGGTGCGATACTCTCTGATGTTGTGTAAAATTTATAGTGAGTACAAGGATGTTCTTGTGAAAAATTTATACTGCATTTATACTCGTGCCTTCTATGTAGATATAAAAAATAACTAGTTGAATCATTAAGAAAACGTTTAAAACTTTAGATGATATACCTACATCGTTTTGAATTAAGAATTTTTTGATAAAATTATATAGGATCAATCTGAACTCGTTTTAAATAAAAAAATATTATTAATTCCAATTTACAAATTACTGAGTTCTGTAAGAAACATAAAACAAATAAACAGAAATGATAACCTCCTGCATTTTTGTATTGTCTGTTAATAATGATATAAAACGTAAACGCTTTTGTAAATAATATTTAGCAACATGTAAGTAAAACTGTATAAATACATAACAACTGTATAAAAAATGTCCATTATTACCTTTTTCATTATGGATGGAAATTAAAGTATAACCAATACTATTTTGTTTATTACCTGCACTAATCGTAACTAAGTACTAATTTGTTTGTAACATCACAAAAACCTTTTACTATTAGGGATCTAGTATCGACTGCATACACCGTACATACAGTGCATAATTTCAGCTTATTTTATAGCAACATATATGTCTCAACCCTCGAGATCCTTTGGCCCTTAGGGAGTCAGCCCTCATGCCTACAGGATCGAAGATTTCCATCCGAACCATGGTCTATTATTATTATTTATGCTATCGAAGGCGTGGAGCGCTGCAATTTGGCAACATTTTTACGAGCTCGCTTTAGTTTTATCGATGTTGTATTCGATTCTAGTATGATTGGTATGAATTCAGAGGGATGTTTGCATATTTTTATTGGTTTAAAATGTAGTTTTGACGATTTGAAATTGAGCGGGGTGTTCGAATGGATACTTTGGTTTTATATGGGTAAGATTATGAAGTATCTGTAGTTAATAACCATTATCTATGTTATATTATATTGAAATTGAATAGTATACATATATTATATATGTATACTATTCAATTTCAATATAATATCTATACTATAATATATCTATACTATAATACTCACTTATGTAAAATGATATTATGAATTTTCAATTGTAAAGGATTCAAATTGCCAAGTTTAGGTACAATTGTCCATGAACTAATTGAAAGTTGCACGGCTAAGTTCGACGGTTCGCAAATGCAACTGTTAAATAGTAGTGCTAACTACAAAATTATTCGTTTAATCCGAATTAAATGAGAATTATTTGTAACATCGTTACATAATTTCGACCCGGATAGAAATTTATATGTGGTGAGATAAATCATGCCTATGTAAGTGATATCATTGAATAAATATCTTTATATGTATGACTAGCAGTATCCGCGGTTTCACACGCTTTAAATTTCAATATAAAATGTAGTCTATTATTATATATATCTAGTATTATATATACTTGTATAGTTTATTCCGATGCATAAGCTATTTTACTATAAAGTTTTATCAAAATTCGTTCAGTAGTTATTGTGTGAAAGAGTAACAAACGTCCATAGTTACAAAGTTTTCCATGATGACGCAACAAGCAGACAAATAATTTTAAATTCTAATTTCGGTTCTACATTCAGTAGTCTCCAGTCGAAAAAAGTTTAATTTGATTTTATTATAGTACTTATGGCTGTTATTTCCGAAGCATTGTACTCTGTGTTTTAGACTGCCCAAATATCTGTTTTACTTCGATGTCCGCGCAACCTTGTAACATTGTGAAATACTGTCCATATTCTAAATTATAGATAATAAAGTATTTGATTGTGCCCTATCTATTATTTATAGGAGACACTCTATAATAGAAGAAAAATAGTTTAGTGTCACCTATAATATTTTTACGAATTAAGTATTTTATATCTGTACTGTATAAACCATTTGTTTCTACAAGTAGGAATCCAAATAATAGGTGAGGTATACGCGTTGTAGCCTCCAATAGGATAATAATGAAGTCTGCTCAAACGAACCTGATAAAAATGAGAAAGTAGTATTTTCGGAACTTATGATTACATATTTATTGATAAGGTAAATAGTAATGAAGGAATACTTGAATGCCAAAATTATAATCTAAAATTATTTCTATTGTAATATTTGACGGCATCAGTAGTTGAGCGGTTTACCGCCCCGCCTTACGTCCAATGGCGTCGCGGGTTCAGTTCCTCGCACGGTACAAACATTTGTATTTATTAGTATGATTGTTTATATCGGTTTGGGTTTTTTCTATATATATTATGTGTGTATTTATAAAAAATATGATGTATGTATTAATATCAATTATCTAGTACCCATTACATAAGGTCTGATTAAATCTTAGATTGGGACTAGATAACGCTGTGTGAAGAAAGTAAAGTGAAGATATTCACCAGAGATATATGCATTAATACTGTATTTCAAATAGGCACAAATGTACCTGATGTGGTCTTGCATTGTGCGGAGGAGGACCTCCTACTCCGTGATGGTAAACCATGTCGTGTTTGAGTTGCGGCAATGGTGGCCCAGGCTGAGGACCAGACTGGTGTTTGCTGATGTCCACTGCTGCCAGCGCCTCCGCCCTACTGAGAAGACCATCGTTGAGGCCGCTGAATAAGTCACCCTGATAAGAAAAGAATAAGTTGTATTTACTTTTACAATAATTTTAATATACAAATTAATGAAATAAAAGTTGAAAAAAATGAAGGCAAAATTATATTAATGTTCGTTTGCGCCATTATTTAAGTATTTCTATTAGTTATTTAGTAAATATCCATTACTCAAGTTCCGCTTGAGACTAGATATTAAATAATTTGAAAAAATAAAAAATACTTCGGCGCCAAAATGTATGAGAATTTCCCCAGTTAATTCTATTTAATACCAAGGTATAGTTTATATGTAAAGTGGTATATCTGTCCCAACTTTTTTTGTACCAAGTAGCATACATCTAAGCAGTGTTTCAGTTGAACATAGCAAATACAAAGAAATGACACCAAGATATTATTCGGAATGACACGATATATGCAGACAGCGGTTGCCACTTATAATCAAAAATCGTTTATTTGTTTAAAAAAAATATTAAATAACTATAGAATATTTTTTAAATGTATTAATCAATTTCCATGTTTGTTTTAAGTTGATTATCTCAAAAAAATATTGCCGTGTCGGGTCGCATAAAAAGCTTCAAAAGAGTAACAGTATCTTTTATCGATCTGTCTCTTTCCATAACTATTTGATAAGTTTTAGTTGTGGGATTACTGTTATTATTATTATTCGATGGAAATGAACATCCAATTCGGCGGCTCACGATTACAGCTTCTAAGATCCTAGCGAGATTTTTTCAATATATATTAATTAACTGAAATACTAAGGAAAAGTCCTTGGTATTTCAGTTAATTAATTTCTACTACTATTTAAAATTTTCATATTCATTAACTATTTCTGATCGAATTTATTAATTCATTATATCGAAGTATTATAGGCGATTATGATATATACATGAACTACTTACAACATACCGAAAATAAAAGTATTGAATTTATAATGAATAGAATGAAATTTAATTTTTAACTAAACATGTCATATATCAAATACAAATGATATCAGTTCTAATTCTGTTTATATTATTAATACATGAGAAGGTATCATATGACTCTTGTAATATATAAAACAGACAATTATATTAAAATTTGTTAACAGTACGAAAACCAAGTTATAAGAACTGTTATATATATTTAATATATATATATATATACATACAATACGTAACTAACATAATCAACATTCGTGGACCTGCGAATTACCAGCGGCATCTACCGGTTCTAATAATAATTATCCATCCAGATATCGTAGAATACATTTCTACGATATCACTAAATTTCATCCAAATTGGTCTAGCCGTTTAGGGAATATTGGGTGACAGACACACGTACAAAACAATATCATAAATTAAGATGAATAAACTAAAGTGAAATAATTATATACAAATATGTGTATGTATATAAATATATTAGGAGGAAAATATAAAACGTATGTAATGTTTAGAAAAATGTGTAATTTTCGAAGTAAGTCAAGTCGAGTTTATATGTTACCTACTGCACTTACTTCGTACGTTGTTGCACTGAAGAAATAAGTGTTATGTATCTTAAAATACATCGTACTTTAGAAGGCAGATCATTTATCGTATGAATCTGATTTTACGAAACTATAATTCCATTTTGATATATGAATTTGATATAACCATATACAGATATATGAAGTTAATTTAGCTACTTTTAGAAGTAGATGCTTATATAGTTAGTTCTATTTCATTTAGATAAACATATACTTATACGCAACATTGGCTGGTAGTTCATTCCTACAATTTCTGATTTTTTTTAGTTATCTGTAGCCTATGCCCTTGTCGAATATTTATAATCTATCTTCACATCTAATTTTTTACCACTTCAGCAGTTTCTTTGTAAAAAAGTCATAAACAGATAGACAGACACTTTTCCATTTATAATGTTAGATTATATAGGTATAAAAAATATAAATAATTTTACTACTATTTAAGGCCTACGTAAATCTTTTTAAAGAAGTTTCCGAATGTTATACGTCTGTTTAATCAATCTTATCAAGAATATGATGTTAAAAAGGATTAAAAATTTGTATATCATCATTACATCCTACAGGCAAACAAACAAATAGTATTATCTCGAATTTTCCTTTTTTGCACATATGCTACCTACTTAATCTCTGTTCCTCTTGTTCTCTTTAAGGACATACCGAGGAGTGATTACGATTTCGTTATTTTTTCGTATATTTCCACATACAAATTAGGTGGTAAATATGGAAACATCTGTACGATACAAAATCTATTTTCTCCTAACAAAATTGGTTTCGTACATACTTTATCCCATTTTATTTTACAAAATAAATAGTCACGTCAGAAATTAATGTCGAAAAGAACTTAATGCGACCCACTAATACGTAAGGCGCGACACAAGTTTATCAAATAGTCATGCACGCTCAACCGACGGCCGCGGACAGGGGTTTTTCCCCGATTACTTTAAATTATTTATGAGTGACTCTGACCCCGGTTACCTCAGTCTCGACAGATGTTCGTTTCGCGACTCGACTGCCAAATAGGCGGGTTTACAGCAGACCACTTTTAAAGTGATAGTTTCTCTTTTCGATTTACCGGTGGCAAACACATTTGCTGGTTTTATTCCGCAGTCCCCTATAAGAAGAGAGGTTTGCATCGGAATTGATTTGTTACGAAGGTGTTTTAGTAAGGTGTACATTTTACTGCTGAGTTCGGTAGGCATGTGAACACGGTTCGATGTGGAATTGTTCATAAAAAACGTATAGAATTGCAATATAAAAACACTTCATTCGGCTACAACTGCAAATTTGATGAAACAGTAAAAGAAACAAAAGAGAAAAATGATCCATTTAGATACATTGCTCAAACTTTAATTTATATAATTTAAGATTTTTTTTCAATAAAGAACTGCTTTCTTCCTTGTTGAATTAGTTAACACATTGCAATTAAGCAAAATCAATAACATAGTTTTAGGATCGGTGAAGGTACATAACAGACATAATAACCTATACGAATTGAAGTAATTTTCAAAATCATTCCAAAAATAGACGCGTTTATGGGGCTTTTATATGATTGCTGAAGTTTCGTATACTATCAGAATTCATAACCACTATTTAATTACAATTGAACCACACAAATTTATTAATAATTAAATAATTACAGAATCATTAACTGTACAGCTTTAAAATTCGATTATCCGTTAGCATACGATCAAAATAAATAAAGAAACGAAAGTCCATTCAAAATACAATACAATTATCTGTGAAGTGTGAAGTACTGTCAATCTTCTAATCCCCAGTTGGCTAAAAAATGAGCTGCAATCAAGCGTGGGAACAGAGGCTGTCCCTACAGCCGGGTCATTAGCATCAAGTTACGCGATCCCTGTCTCATTGTAATTGTTACAAGTGGCGGCGCGGGCCGTGTTAATGTGATGCGAAATAATTTGTTGCGAACCCTAAGTTTAGAGTGTCTGATATTAGAATAAATTAAAATAATATTTTAAACATTTATGGGCATGTTTGTTATGAATATTCAGATACGAGTTAATTTATAATAAACTTGCAGCTGAAATATCCAAGAAATACCTCTTGTTCACGATATAAAATAATTTCATTTGTTACACTAAATTTCCTGTATAATATTAATATGACAGAAATGGTCAATGACTTGTAAAGAATATTATACTTTTGACATATTAGAAAAAAAACATCGTCCTCTGTCATAATATATTGTTCATTCAAGTATAAAATTAAAAAAAGAATAAATTAAGCATTTTATTTCAATGATTTGTTTATCAATTAACCACAATAGTTTCATAATTGCAATCATTCATCCAGGGTCTTTTTTCCGATGCATTGTAATCACTGAATAGTTGCATGCCTAATTATACTTCACATTTATGGTTTAACAACCTACTGGCAACACTATAACTATATTGTCATTTAGTTGCACATCTTGCGTAACAGTGTAAAGTTAATACCAAACTGACACGGGTTAAATGTAGATATCGTAAAGCTAGAACAATCGTGCTACAATAATCCATTACTATTATTACTCATCAACGTTCACATTTTAGGGCTAACTGGCGACATTCTGATCCCCCAGCGTTGCTTGATATCAAGTGTCACAGACATGTAAAAGCAGGGACCCTTTGCGCGTTTAGACAGCGCCGATACACTCAGCAGCTGAAGTGTTAAGTAATTAAATTTATAAAATACAAGTGACACGTCCCGGCTTTTCATAGGTTAATACGTGGGAAGATAGATTGGTACTTTATTTTGACAAATATGACTAAAAGATTATACCGTAATTCTTTATTGAAATATTTGAATACCTTCAGTTAAATATAGGAATTTTTGGTAGCAATCTTTTTTTTTTAACTATAACAACATATTGCATGTGTTATATCTTATATCTTAATCTTTCTATTTTAATCTACCTGAATTTTATAGTGTTAATTAATCAAATTAACTTATACTTGTTACCATAGTAGTGCTCATAAGTTTGTTAATTTTATATAAATGAAATGAATATCCAGCATATATCATTCTGGAATAAAATTCAATACATTTTGTATGGCAGAATTTTTGAAATCAGTATATATATTTGAGAGTCAGAGTTTGTTATTCTCATAACAAATTCTGATTTTTCTGTTTACAATATGATCTAGCGAGCCATCGGCTTGTATCAGATGTACATTACAAAGCTTTGATTTTCTGGACCTGTTCCATACTATAAAACGTATGTATTATACATATTAACTTTTCTCTTGAATCGCACTATCTATTGCTAAAAACTGCATTAATATCCGTTACGAAATTTAAAAGATTTAAGCGAACAGACAAAGGAGGCGACTTTATTTTATATTATGTAAAGTCGTATTAATATAGACTAGATAACTATGATGAACAATTTTATTACATGTTTTTATCACCGATTATACGAATCCAAACGTCGAACTCCAATTAATTGTAATGTACAATAAGTACTGCAATACTAAAAATAAAGAGTAACTGACAGTTCAGAATGTAGTCTAATAGGCCCACTTCGGAATCCATCCATTAAAAGTAATCGGCAGTAGCGATTCCCATACAGAATTACCATTTTATGATTTATCGCTTCAACTGCACATTACTGTTTTTCTGTCATTCTTTTTATTAAACCACCCCTGTATTATAACGAACAAAACAAATTTTGAGTTTCAACGAGACTAACGACCAGCAATTGATTGAAATTGAAGTTTATTGCACAGAAATTGATTTATAATTGTAGAATATTGTTTTTCTTAGTAACGTGAATTTAAAACTCAATCGTCAGAAAATTGACATATATAGGGAATAAATCAATAGAATGAGTAGATAGACATTCGGACGGAAAATAAAATTTATGCGTTAATATTTTATAATAGTTATCCTAATAACTAGCAGTTTATTTATTTACTAAAAATCTCACGTCAATAACAAATTTAAAAAAATATGTATGTCTAAATTTATTATCGATTTATTATCTACAATTAATTATGCATTCGTATATGTTTTAATAGTGTTTTATTCGTACTTTAGGACAGTTACATGATAAATGTACCTATTGTATGTTTACATCCTTAGGTACAGTACAAATAAAATATAATATGGAAATTATATTTATTTAATCATGGAAAACCGTTGTCCAGCACCATTACATTAATATTGTACAGTTTAATGAAGTTCACCTAACAAGCACCGGCTAGATCAGAGACAGATGCAGAGTGACGCGTATTAAATTTCACAAAGATCCACGAGTAAAAGCGGTCCTCTTTGCTCCCGATTAGTGTGACTAGGTGGATTTTGTACCGTCGACGTCTCAAGTGACAAACATTGATTAAACCGAATTTAACTATAATATTTATATTACAAATCTATGGAATTCTAGTAAATAAATTATAAACTATTTCATTATTATATACTTTGAATGTATACAGACTACTTAATAATTAGATTGCGTTATTAAAAATATGTTTCACATATATTTAAATATTAAATTGAAAAAGTGGATATTTTAAACACCTAAACATTTTATACTTTCTACCATAAATTGAAATATATTAAAACAAAATTGTAAGAGATAGATCCTTAGTTTACTCGTATTTTTATTGCATAAGCGATAAAACAGTCTCATACTCCGTTAATTATGATTAGTCTAATACACCTGGTGTAATAAAGAGTAAATAAATAAATAAAATATTTATTTATTATACTAAACTATTGAATATTTTTCATCATTTTTACCTTCCATTCTTTATAAAACTGTTTAATGTCGGCAACAGACCGACTTCAATTTATTGAAGTAAATTATATAAAGTGCGATTTATCAAAAATATTTATAGTCTGCAGATAATTCAAGTACATTTTAGATGTATGCCATTATTATTTTACCAGATTATTTTTTAATTTGCACATTTAACAAAAGTAAAAAACAATTAGGCGTTTGAATTTGTATAAATTTTCAGGATATTTACTCTTTATATACCTAGATATTATATGGAACATACCGAAACTACAAGGCCATTCCATTAGGTATCAATTGAAATCTAGTTTAAATATATTTTAGATGTTATTTGTAGATAACATTATTTTTAAATTTTACTTGTGACGCGTAAAAAAATAAATCTTAAAAATCACGCCATTTTTTAATACCATAAATAAGAGTACCGAATGCAATAATATGTAGCCAACTATACCTACGGCTGGGATAAAGCAATGTATAAGCCTTTGCGATCACGTGGATGTTGCAACGAAATTATAATTCTGTAGGCTGACAAATTAAAAACAAATCCTATTTAATTACAAAATGATATCAGTACAGAAAACGTAACTATTTTTAGTACTTTATAATAATTATTTTTCCAATTAACAAAAATATTGTTGATGTACATATACATAATAATCATGTACATATACACAATATAGTTGAAATTAAAATTTTCCTGTACAACATTTATACCTATCAATAACAACACATAAGGGAATACAGTGACAGTTCAACATTTTGAAGTAATACCAAACAAAACGTAATATGAATCATTAACTAAAAAGAAATAATATTCGACTTTTTGTCAGAATAGACGAAGATATCGTATAACGTGCCAATCGAATTGAGGACTTGCTTCTTTTATTGTCAGTCGGCAATTAACGCCAGCCCGCTAACAAATCAGTCAACATGGCGCCTCCGGGAAATAATTTTCCAGTTCTTACTAGGCGCGAAAAAACGAAAGCACTGACATATCACGACACGACTGCCGAGATAATTACCTTTTTCATACGGTTTTCCCGTGTTCGTCATGAATTTTTAACTCACTTCTGATTTAGCTATTGTGGAACAGAACATTCTTGCGGTATTCGTCAGGTCACATTGTATATTTATATCACTACTTCTTATATTCATACTTTATTCTTGTTTATCAAATTAAGCCTTGTTTAGTTTGCGCCAGTTATAAGTCCATTGGCGAGTTGACTTTAAAAGCAAAAATACTAAGATTATTTTAGTCGGTAACGCAATGTTACTTAATTTTACTCCTTATATAGTTGAAATACTATTGGTAATACGGTAAAGTATTACTCCACCATATTTAGGTTCTTTTACCTTATGTAATATATACATTATACGTTATATAAATAAAAACATATTGTAACGTTTTACGCTTGTTACTGAATAAAGTATAAATCTGGGCGGCCGGCCCGAGAGTCTGGTGTGCACGAAGTAGCGCTTTAAGACGCTAATTTTCGTACGACAGTTATTGAAACGTAGTTTTCCTTTCCACTTCTTCATGAAATACACTATGTAACTAAATAAATTTGAAAACGTAGCCGATGATAATATACGTTTTTAAGGTAATCTGTGATATGATAGTAAAAAGGAGCAGTTTAAGTAGTATTAATAGTATTATGGTAAGAATATAAGAAATAATCATAAAATAATAAAGTATTATACTCGTATATTGAGGAATAAACAATTCGGATACTTTATTATTTTATATGAATGTACCAGTTTTTTTTAAATGTATACCTACGTACTCATACATATATCATAACCGCCATTTTATCCCAAACTAAACAGAAGTAGCCACGTAGTTAGTAAACATATGTACGTATATAAGAAAATACAAAAATAAAAAATGTTTTTGGTAAATGTCAGTTAAGTGTAGTGTAATAGGTATTATTAAAAAACAAAATTAAAATAAACAAACATAAGCTGCGTCCATTAATACTTACCATTAATAAGCCTGTGAATTATATGTAACTGTTAATTATTTAAATTAAATTTGAATAAACATCGCTAAGCCGTTTAATTCAAGTAAAATAAATTATCTTTGGCCAAAGATGATCGCGAGCTATTTTCGCAAAGCAAAATATATTTGTAATAAATAAATAAAACAAAAATAATATCTCGTTGATTATGGAATTGTCGTAGGAGTACTAAAATCTAAAATTAAGAAATGCGATAGATATTAAATTATCACTGGGTACATCCGTAACAATGTACTATGTATAGTATGAAACATAAAGTCAAAATAATATTTAAATCATATCAAGGAAGTGTTTAGTGAAACGGCAATTTGTGTTTTGTTATAATAGGTATAGATATATATATCAGGTAATATAAATTAAAGACAAAAGAGCAATTAATATATTTTGTTAAAAACAAACATTATATCGAATAATATATAAATATTAAACTTGATACATAACAATATAAATCGACTTACATTGTGACGTGGTGACCAAGAATTGCACATCAACGATGCATCCTCCAATATTCGACTCTGGAAAAGAAAAACCTTCGTTTCTATAAAATATTAGGTTTTTAGCATGCAACATGTTAAACCTAACATTTTGATTTTTTGGTATCGATTTTTTAAATATATTATATAACATATGGTTTAAGTCCTCAATTTATTTAGAAAAAAATTATGTGGTGTGTAACTTTCTCTTCAATTAAAATCAATCATATATAAGTAAGAATATTTGGAGAAGCAATTAAGTATTTCAAACTGGCAACATTTTAATCCAGTCCAGTCATTATAATTGTAATTGGAAACAGACTACCTGTTAACACAAGTACGAAAATAGCACCAATAATCCTTAATTAATTTATTCCAAACAATATAAACTTGATAGTAATGCACTGCAATTATTAACGGAATTTTTGTTTCTCCTGTGATAGTATACACTACAATACATATATATTTTAGTCTGAATTATTTTAATATATTGCTAGATATATACTATATACCTACCGTGCTGTTCAGTTCCCTAAATATACAATAAATTTTTGTAGTGTTTAATTTTAAAATAGTATAGAGAAATATGTAGGTAATAAATACAAGAACTTGCTGTATATATTATAGCGTAATCTGTAAGTTATCTGAGAAAATAACTAGTTTTAATCCAATATCAATAGGTGCCTTTACACGACACGTTCTCTTACGCGCGATCAGCGCACGCGATTTTACGCGGGAAAACCGGCGCGCACAAACCTCAACTCTTTCCTACGTAATTGCGCGAATGTCATTCATTTATACACGACATTTCACTATCTTTTAAAATATTACTTTATGTTCACAGATGTTATTCTCCAAAAATACGTTATTATCAATAACTATAAATATCGATAGATAGAATGATTAATAGTAATGTATTTTGAATAATTATGTCTTAATAGTCAGATATCCGCCATTCTTACAAGAAGGTACTTGAATTAAGAAAAAAGATTGAAACTTAGATAGATAGGTACCTAAGAAAAATATATTTTTTAAATCTCCTTCATGCATATCTTAGTCTTCCATTAACGAATAGACTTAACTCAAGTAAAGTTTTTTGATTTTATCTTTTCTGCACTGAAAATTAGGCAGTCCATTATATTTTTATCCTAAAATTAATCCCTATTCCCATAAAAGGCCTAATAACTTTTTCAGTATAATACTTTGGAACAACACGCTAAAACAAAAAATCAAGGCAGTATTAAGCTGGACCTTTGAATAAATATATTTATGATGTGGTATTAAAAAGAAATAGACATAACTGTTCATACTTAAATTGAATATCAAAAAAGTCAAACTATTTATACACCAAAAAAGTGGCGTTGCAAAATATTATGCAGATACGTAATGTAGGTACATAAAGAGCAAATGAAACATTTTAAATTTGAAATGACGGATTTATCACACCCATTCATCTTTTCCAGTCAACCTGAAATAATCCATGAAAAGTAAACATTTACGATAATTTCGATTCAAGTAATCGAAATGTATGATTTTTATTATGATTACCTGATTATGTGTGTACCTATTAATATAAAGCACCTCCTTTGTTATATACAAAATAGAATACCTTAACATTCGAGTGAAAATATAGTTGCAGTGTTCTTTATGTCTTTGGTCAACCACTTCCCAGATTCCAGACAGCTAGATTGCTCGATAATAAAGTTATATCATATCGAAAAGAGGATTATTTTATACAAATAATAAAAATTATTTGTACACATATTTTTAAATTAGTTACATACGAAGAAAACGACATCAAATGCATTATATTATTAATATTACTTCATATTAATAATATGTATAATGTATTATTATTACTAGTCAGGTCATGTTCAAATGTTTTGAAAGGTTGTTCTTCTTTTTCACAAAAGAAGAACAACCTTTCAAATAAAAAAATGAATCACCAAAACCAATTCACTTAAAGAAAGTTTTGCGGCAAAACACGTATAAAAATAATTCAATTAAAAATGTACTCGTATTTTTATTATCTTTTAAAAAATAGTAGGTACAAATAAAATACTGAAAAAGGAGAAATGCAAAACACGTCCGTAATAAATATATTTTATTCTCATACACGCAACGTAACTATCCTATTATAATAAAAACTATTATAATAGGATAATAACATTACATAAATGTATATAATAAATAACATAATAATTATAGTTTTTAATGAATTTGTAAATGTCACTGTGTTCATCTGAATCGTTCAATGTTTGGTTAATGTAAACGCGCTGTCACATCGCTTAAGCGTTATATGTGATTGAGTGGATAAATTAAGTAACACATTAATTGAGAGCTCATTTTCAGTTTTACTCTTCTATGCTATAAAATGCAATCGAATGTTGAATCTATAAAATGGAACTTTTATTAGCTGACCTTTGTGGTGGACCAATATGTAACAAACAGATTTGAAATAGACTCAATGTCGTCTGTATATTCTATTTCTAAAACGGTTTAGATATTTCTAGAAATATATCTTATGTAATATGTAAAAGAATAGTTTTATATAACCAGTTCTCTGGTATGCACGGCAAAAGGTTGCGGTTTAAGAATTCCATGATTATTTATTTTTAAGCAAATGAATCTATGCTATTCTAGATTTTAAAGAAAGGGTCTTTGAGTTCAAGGCTAAACGCTTGAACGGATCTTAATGAAATTTAATATAAAGATAGCTTATATCACGAGAATCAATATAAGCAAGCTTTTATCTCAAAAAAGAACTAGTCGATGTCGCCGTTACCAAGCGGTATGATATAATGTAATGCAATATGTAATAATGTTAAGCTAAAACTAGTAACCTTGAAACATAATATTACCATGTTTACACTTCTTAACAACAAACAGTTTGACAAATGTACTTTTTTGATTAATTGTCAGGTCAATAAATATTGTGGCTGCATACGACAGTTACCACGCCCGCTTACCAGCACACGGACGGTATGTCGTCCAAGACTCGCCAGTTTAGCAAACATTGTGTTTCATATGTAGCTTTGTCGGCAGGGTAAGTATTGGGGTCATGTTTTGAGAAATTGCTATGATCGATGACTATTTGTTTTATACATTATACGTTCTGTACTTAATAGCATACATTTAGTCCGGCGGAGAAATAACCCTTATAGAGGAAAATATATATACATATGTGTATTTTTTTTAGTTATTCTTTTGAGGTTGATAAGAGTTACGTACTCGCTATTAGATACGGGTGACGCCGAATATTGGATAATTATTTATGGTCAGAAGGGTAAATTTTATTGTATCAGCAATAGGTACTAATGTCAACCAATTTGCGAGTAGGTTTAGGTGAACAATACCCACTTCTTGTTTTTGTCATCAAGTCCTTGTGTACCACAGGATATATAACGGTATATATATATTTATGTATTCATACACTATATATGTGGCATGATTTTTTTATTACAACATTAAAATTTATTTATAGGTACACATTAAGCGAAGCTAACTTTACAGTTTACTAATACAATCATCAAGAAGGGGCGATTATAAAAATAAGTTTATTCACTACTTTATTAATGTACTGCTATCCTACATATGTGTAGAGTCAGCATGTCTATCTCTGGAAATCAACTAAGGATATCGTAGAGTAAGCGCAATGTAGTATAGGTATATCTATCTAAGTATTATAGAGAATTCAAACAAGCATTCATAATGTCAAGTTTGTATACCTAAATAAATTGACTTATGAGTGATTGTTTGATCAAATTAAAAAAAAACTGAATGCGCTCAGGGCAGCTTACATAAGTTTTTTAAGATTTTTTTTAACAAACATTGCAAAATAAATTACTACCAAATAAATAAGTAAACTAAATAACCAAGTAAATGTATCATTCTTTTTTTTAACTTATTTGGTGAATGTAAAGCGAAAAATTTAATAATTTAGTAAAAAAAATATATACCTATCAGAACTACTCACGCCGTCCAATCTAAGCAGAACTTGTGTTGTGGGTACTACATACCCGATGTAAATATTATTCATTCTATAAATAGATACATAATATATAAAGAATACCAAGCATATACAAACAATCACACTCATGAAAACAAATGTTTGCATCATGCAAGGAATCGAACTCGCAACCATCCACCACCACCACATATTCTAAACCAAATAAGAATATGATTATAATATATTTATTAAGATATTTGATGAACTTCATATAGTTCTCGTTCAGTATTATTCATTCACACGAGCGAAACCATAAGTTGTGGCTAGTGTTATGTAATTTGAGGATCACTATTCTACGAGGTTTCTATTTTTAGTCTGGAAAGTGCTCACGGAATCCAATAAGAACGCTTCATGTATGTACAAGTCCTTCCGCGATTTAAAATTTATTTTAAAATACCTACGTCCTACATGTTAAACTTGTACTTATATTGATAACTCTTGCTTCGATGTTGCAATTTTCTTTTCAAATATTGAATCTATAATATGGAGTCCGAATGAGTTTGATTCATAGAACTCGAATTACTTTTCATTATCTACTTTAGAAAGAAACTTGCTTTTCCGTGTATTTATAATAGTTAACTACATCAACTTTATTAAACCTATCATTTCATATTATACTGTTCCACTTTATACTTTAACTACCTGTGTTATGTATAGACACAAAAGTGTATCTATTTGGTTTATTTTCACTTATGAATAAAAACACTCCATCACCAGTTTTACAAGACTATCATAAAGATTAGGTATCTAGTACCTACACACAGAGATATTTTACATAGATAAAACACTTAGACCGATAGAAACAGTCATACTCATGAATACAAATGTTTGACCGTGTGAGGAATCGAACGCGCATCCATTAGAAGGAAGGTGGTATGCTATACCGGTGCAGATCTGAATGGCAAACATTCTTAAGGAACCAAATGGATATTTTAATTCGAGATATTGTCGGCATACATTTCTACAGTCAGAATTCATGGAACTGAATTAATCATGGAAGGACCCTGAAATGCCAGTGTACAAACTATTCGGT